AGGTAGCCATAGCAAAGACTGTGTATCTGGTGCCAATGTTGTGTATTGGCTATTTTGATGTTCAGTATATTTTCACTTGTCCTTTGAGAATTTCACAGATGTTGCAATGTGTCTTGTTCCGCTTCCTCTTTACATATTAGTTATTTTTTTTCTTCTTACTGTGGCCAAACACATGACAAAAAGAAAGCTAACGAAGAAATACTTATTTTGACTTATGGTTTAGGATTCAGTCTGTCACAGCAGAAAAGATATAGTGATAGGAGGCCCCTCACACCTGTGGCATGCAAGCTTGCTCACATCCCTCACATCTGGGCGTTGTGGAAAACAGAGGTAAACAGGGCTAGAGAGGCTGTGACACTCAAGGCCTGAGTGTTCCATGGATAACTTTATCCAACTATTCCCCATATCGTCAGCCTCCCAGAAAAGTGCCACCCCTTGAGGACCAAGTATTCAAACATATGAGCCTACAGAAGCATTCAGCTTACAAAGCAAAACATTAATACTTTGAATATGTTGAGTTTATTGAAATTTATCATTAAAACTAAAGTCACTTGATTTTTACTTTTCCTCTTTGATATGGGTTGTAAAAACTCTTAATATTGTATATATAGATCTCATTTATTTCTATTAGGCATCCCTGTTCTAAAGGCAAACTGTGCTTATGATTAAACACAACTAAGACAATGTTCTTGGTCCATTATAGTGGTGGGTGTCCACCATGCCAGCACTCTGGAGGCCGTGAGGTAGCAGGATAATGTTCTTAAAGCTAATCGAGTTCATAGCAGGGTGTCTCAAAGAAAAAAACAGACTCTTCTTTCTGATAACGTCTTTCGTTTGCACCACCACATCAAACTAGAAACTATAATAGCTGACAGCGTCGCGTAGCCATTTTTTCTGGGATTAAAAGCTCCCATCTTGGATGGAAACTCTTACCCAATATGCCATATTGCTGCTTTATGCTGTCAGTCTTGAATCAGATGAGCATAATTTAGGTAGAATGAGCCTGTAGTAAGAGTGTGAGGGAATCAATTAAGACAAAGCTAGTAATACTAAAGTTTATACAGAGTTTGCACTTAACAAATATCATATACTTTCATTTACTTTAAAATGATGGGTAGATAAATAACAGATCGGTACGTGATTCTGTTCACATCCATATGCACACAGAGGGAAAGGAAGCTGTGCTTTTTAACCCTACCCTTTTCCATTTCATACTATCAATTTTGCAGAGGGATACTAAATTCTACTTCTTTGTTATGTCCCTCAATGGGACATTTGGCAATACGTGAACTGGGACTTGGTTTACCACTTACTGGGTAATTTTCTGCAAAAATAATATTTCTGGCCACTTTTCATCAAGAACAAATTTGCTTGGCTTTTGCATAAAACATTTCTGGGAATACCTGTATCCGTTAATGACTCCATACATTGCGTGTTCAGCAATTCTATCAATATCATTCTCCAAAAGTCATCTCATTTTGGAATTGTTTAATTAATGCTAAATTAAGACAGCTAAAATTGCCTTTGGGTGGAAATAGTAATAATGAGCATCTCAAGAGTCTTGACTGATTGGCAGCTGTCACCTATGATAGAAATGGAGTCACAGGATGAGCAATTTGACGGACATGCTTCTTTTGCCTTTGAGTTGTGCTTAATGTACTTAATTTGTGGCTAGTGAATTATTATGAGAAGCTCTCTATCCCGTGAAACTCTGAGTGAGATTTCATAAGCTCCTTACCCTGGGAAAAACCAGGTCTACCATCAAAAACCATTAACAAAACAGCTCTCTCTACTGCCGAACAAGGTAGTGACTGATAGGTGCAGAAGAGCATGGTGACTTTTAGGTGAGGAGAGATAAAGAGGTCAGAGGGTCTCGAAGGTCTTACAGATGTCAGTGTGGCTGGGAAAAATGTTCTTCTGGCTTGATTAACTGGGTTACTACAAGGAGTAATTTTCAAACACAGGGCTTAGCTTTTACTCAGAGTGTTTTGATGAGCTTTACAAAGAAGTTCCGAGATCAGAAAGGGCATCATAGGTCTATGAGCCTAAGTTGGCACCCAGTCTGGGTGGAAAACCAGAACAGTGCTTAGCCATGCAGAGGCTGTGGCACCATGGATTCTCCCCAACCACTCAAGCATGTTTATAATTGATCTGCATGGGCAGGAAGAGAAGAGAGAATTCACCTGTTTGTGGTTCAATTGTTGTCTCGAAGGCTTACTGCCTCCCTCTGCTTAACCTAGGTCTAGTCCTGGAGGATTCTAGCCTCCATACAATCTAACCTAGGCCTAGAATGTTTTCAGCCTCTAAGACTTACTGCTTAATAAGCTTACCCTTTCTTATTCTTTCTGAGCTCTGGATGGTTCAATTCAGCTGTTCTGGTTCAAACTCCTCTTCCCAGCTGACTTATTCAATCTGGCTTCTCTTTCGGTGCCTCTGAATTACTCCAGCAATCTGCTCTAATTTTCTGTCTCCTTAGCTCATTCTGTCTTTAACCTCTCTCTATTAAACTCTCCCAGTAAAACTGCCTCCTCTCTCTCTCTCTGCATTGCCCCTAAGTACCTTCCCTTTCCGCTTTCTTCTTTTAAGAGTTGGGTGTATCCTATTCTGTCAAGTCTTTCTCTGATTTGTCAGTTCTTCTGCCACTCAATTAGCATCTCTTGCAAACATGGGTGCTTCCTTCTACAAACTATCTTCATCTTCATTGTTTGAGATTAAAGGCATATACCACCATGCCTGGACCTAAGCTTTTCTTTACCTGATACTTGCACTATACCAGGCTGGCCTTAAACTCAGATCTGTTGGCCTCTGTCTCCTGGATTAAAGGCATGTTTGTATTCCAGCCAGATTACACATAACTGGAAGGTCTTTGGACATGATCTCTTGCCAGAACAGCCATGTTCTCAATTAATATTCTTCTACACCACACCTGTCTATGGAATGAGTTCCGAGACATCTGGAGCTACACAGAGAAACCCTGTCTCAGAAAAATAAAAACAAAACAATGTCTAAACATTATTCAAGAGACGACTACAATCCAGTGATTCTCAAAAGAGGCAATTTTGCACCCAAGAAGCTTGTTCCAATGTCTGAAGAGAAAAGAGTCTAAAAATAGTATTTTTTCACTGACTTTAATATGTGAAGCCTATTTCTAAACAGTGGCCAAAAAGTTATCTTAATGTCTTTCCTCCCCTGCAGAAGTAATTTATTTCATAGAAAATTATGACTCTCCAAATGATAAGTTTTGACTGTGTTTACAGTACAGGCATGATTCCCTTCTGTTTAACAGACTTCAAAGTAATCAAAAGAGTGGGTGGTTATTCTCAGAGAGTCTTGCCTCTACCGCACCAATGAGCGCCTCTTTTCACACTGTCAGCATTGTCGCATGGAGGGATCCGGGTAAGACTATGATGCCTTTTCTTCCCTAGCAGCCTGCATGGCTGTTGTTCTAAGAAGTAAGAAGAGAGGTTCCTGGTCAGTTCAAGATCTGTTTCTCTGTGTCCTACAATCAAAGTGTGGTGTCTTCAAACAAAAGTGTCTTATCATATAGTTGCTGTGGGAAACCAAGAGCAATAGCAGTAACCTATACTGTTTTGAGTGCCTTTGAGCCTTCCTCACCAATCATTCATAAGGAGGTAACCTGTGCCTCAGGTAACACTGAGGTTTTCTGTGAAAACTCATGTCTTCTGGGGAAAGCTTTTTTATCCATGTAGTTTTTCTTTGTTTAAACTCAGAGACCCACCTGCCTCTTCCTGCCGAGATGCTGGAATTAAATGCATGTGCCACCACCACTCAGCTTTTGGTTATATGTTAATGAGCTTCCAAACTAGTATAGTGGGTTTCATAAAGAATCTTCATATACTCTCAATTTGATTTACACAACCCTATTATTCCCTTACCCCCATCCTCATCCTTGCTTAAACCTTTGGCTGCTAGTATCTGACCCCATTCTTTTATATTACATGTGTTCTAAAGTCCACTCATTATATTTTGTATGGAGTTGCAAGAGCATAGGTTCCCAAGCTTCTTGCACACTTCATCTTGGCTGACACTTCCTCTACTCATTCATTTCCCCATCCTCTATCAAAGCCTTATGTCACTGTGATAACCATTCTTTCTAGAAACACACTACTAAATCAAAACTAAGAGTTGAATACTCTGGCTTAGAAAAAATGCTGCTCATAGAAATATTCTTTTCTTCTTCCCCTGGAGGCCATATTAAAACTTGTCACATAAATGGCTGCTTTTTGTGCACTAGGCTCTGTGCCCTGTGCATAGCCCCAAAGCTGTCTTGCTGATCAGATATTTTCTTCCTGAAAACCCAAGTTCAGGTAACAGCTGCCAGCCCCAAAGTGTCAGAATCCCTAAGCTTTGGACCCAGCAAGACTTTACTATTCTGCTACAGCATGTAAAGGTCTCTGTTATGACAAAAATCCAGGAGCACAAAAAAAATTTTGAGATATTTGATTTTTATATTTTTTGAGCTATATCTATTGCACAAATTTCCAAGCAGATTTGAAAACCCACTGCAGTCACACCTCAATTCCAGCTTTATAGTTGTACCACATAAGCATTCATAGAGGGGGGAAATGTTATTTTGCCTAGGATTTACCTCAGCTCAATTTATTTCTAACAGCGTGGCTTTGATCAGGTCAGACTTCTGTCAATGTTCATACATGTATGTGGAGACCAGATATTTAGCAGAAATAGAAACTTTTCCTTGCCACTCAGCTAGCTCTGTGTGTGTGTATGTGTGTGTGTTTGTCTGTGTGTAGAAAGATTGTAAGACTTTCAGAAAGGGGAATCAAGAGAGGAGAGAGGGAGGGGCAGAAGGATAAAGGAAGGGAGGGAATGAGGGAGGGACAGGGAGAGAGAGAGAGTGAGAGAGCTGCCTTATAGCTGCTAAGACTGCGGACAGAAATAGCACAACCACCGTGAGCTGTGCGCGACTCATTTTATCCAAGACTACATTTTATCTTTCATTAATCAGTTGCTCAGAAAGAAGGAAATGACATCTGGTCCATTCTTCTTCTACATCTTCATTATTGGAAAATACTGTGAGTATGCTCAGCGTCTAATTTTATGTGCCTTAGTGTTTTGTGAAATAGTCACAAGTACAAATGTTCATTCCTTACATTCATATGCTTTTAAGCTAAAATGCATGCTCTGATAGAATTGTAATCTGACTTTAGAATCATTCTTCTTTGTATATTTCTGATATTTGTATTGAAATATCTTTGTCATAGTCAAAAGTTAAGCAAAACTAACATGTTTTATAACCCTATGCTTTACAAGAGCCAACTTTTATCATTGATAAGCACTGTTTTAATATTTAAAAGCAGTCTGTAAATTCTGTCCAAGGACCACGTCTGTTGAGCTGTTCTGGAGAGGTGCTAGCATTTGCTCATTTCTGTGTGGTTGTGGCACTTTGCCAACCTGTGATGTGCTGTCTGGGGTGGGCATCCACACCAGCACGTAGCCAGGTAACCCTTTTGCCAGGTTTTGTACTACTCCTTGAAAGAAAAAACAAGAAAAAGCATAAAGCAATAATATATATACATATATATATATATATGTATATATATAAACACCAAAAAAAATTAAGTAATTTTGCTTTTCCTATAATGACAAATTTCCTTTGTGTATGAAGCTATGTTTTCTTTTAATTGTGTTTAAAATTAATGGGGGAGGGCTATTATTATTCATTATATCTCATTGAATCATCAGTCTGAGTTAATTAAAAAAAGCACTTATGTTTGTTAGAAAAATGAAACAATCCAACCCCAGCTCAGAGTGACAGTTTCTGAGTCCCTTCAATACCTTAGGATGGGGGAGGAAAGAAAGCATCACCAGACATAAAGTGCAAGCATGCTTAGATTCTTCTGTCTCTCAAATTCTGGAAAAGTCTTCTCTATACTAAGCTGTTCTACTGAGTTTCTCAGGGTAATCTTCCATCCTAAACCTCTTAATTCTAATAGCATATACTATACTTTGGCAATGATTTTTCTCCCATTCTCTTCTGGCCACAGTAAAACTAATCTAAATAGTCAAAGACTGAGTCAGTTTTACAGCCAGAGACATGACTAGGAATCCCTGAGGATATTCTAATCAGGTTTCTTTATCTCAACCTAAATTATGACATTCCCACTTTTAAGTAAGAAAACTCAAACTGCACATCACCATCAAAAGACTGGATCTTTCTAATTACAGCCCAGTACTTAAGGTATCAGGATCACACACACACACACACACACACACACACACACACACATGCACACACTGTTCCTAAGATCTTGACATTTGCAGCAAAAGCCCTTTGAAATTAATGGCCAATTTTAACATTTCCTAATCAATCTCAAGGAAATGCATAGACTGAGAGATCCCCATGAATTTTTCTAAAACAGGTGCTCTAGTCTGAAGAACTTAAAATGATATAAAGGTACTCACAGCAGGTTAAAAAGTAAATTTGACTAATGTGGTACTGAAGACATTCCAGGCTATAAAAATGCTCCATATTAGCATTCTTTTATCTTTTTTTTTTTTTTTTTTGAGAAATGGTTTCTTTCTGTAGCCTTGGTAGTCCTAGAACTTAGTCTGTAGACCAGGCTGACCTCAAACTCATAGAGATATGCCTGCCTATGCCTCCTGAATGCTGGAATTAAAGGTGTGCACCACTACCACACAGCAGTAAATTCTTTTCACGAGCAAAACATTGAAAGTTATAAGGATGATAACAATATCAGAACCTCCACCCTTTTGCATTTATGTCCTCTCAAGGTTTAAAAAAAAAAAGATAAAAGAAAACTGTAAGTAGTTGCAGAGTTGCAAGCTCAAATTCTTAACATTCCATGCTTTCCACTGGGGATGAAGGCAACACGGTGACAGAGAGGATGTGGGATTCATGGCTACCAGTACTATATGAGCAACTGGGGGAACTTTTGCAGAGGACCTAAAATAATAACCCATAGTAACCTCAGTCAACCTCTCCTTTTCCCCATCACTCAACCGCACCCAAGCAGGGACTTCTGTGCACACAGCAAAGGCCATCAGTAAAGGTTTACACAGAAGACCAGGCTCCCTGCTGGGCACTGCTGCCCTGAGCTGGGGGCTGTTTGCTCTGTTTGCTGTCCTTGCTTTGTTTGGCTAGATTGGTTGTTGTGTTGTGCTGTGTTGTAGTGTGTTGTGTTGTGTTGACCTTTGGTACTTCAGAAAGGTAATGTGATGTCATGGAAGACACCATCCTAGCATGTTCAGCTGTGGTGCTATGTACTGGCTCAATGATTCTCAGCAATTAACTTACCAATTTTGAACCTTAGTTTTTAAAATGTCAATCAGATATCTATCTACGTCCTGGGACCTTTATGTTCAGGTTAGCTAGGGAAAAAAATAAATAAATCTTCCCAGGAACAATTATGCAGATGCAATTCGGCAAGACCCAAGGACATTTTGTGCTTTGTCACAAGACTCATACTAATAAATGCCAGGATTTGAGTGATTTGGATTCATGCTCTTTCCTCTGAACAATGATCATACTCAGCCAGGGTGGCTTGGAAACAGCAAAACTCCTATAGATGTAAAGAGCTATTGGCCGTGTTTTAACCAAAAAGTCCACTTGAATGCCGGATACGTTAACACATGAAAGGATAAAGTGTGACTACAGCTTCCCCCTTGCTCTGCAGAGACAGAGTGGCGGTCGCAGCAAGCTAGCCCCAAATTGCTGTTCAGTAGCACCCAAAAGCTGAACTAGGCTCAGAAGAGCTTGCCTTTTATCCTTCAGTCCCCTAGTCATATCCAGCGAGTCACAATAAACCAAAGTTAATCAGTAGTTTGATACCAGTTTAGTCATGTGAGGCTATGCCACCAGAAGAAGCCAAACAAAGGACATTTGGGACCCCACTGTGATATTTTCCCAAGTTCCTATCGGTTTACAGTTTTTTTAAACATCCTCAGAATATGTCATATCATAAATCCTTATCAGAGTTGTTTTGCTTATTAAACAATGTCATCAAACAAATAATTATTTCACATAATACTTTAGGTAGTCAGAAAACAGGTAAGATAGAGTGAAGTAGAAGGCATCAGAAACAAGCCAGATCCACTTCAGAATTTCCAAGGACGGCCCCAGTGCTGAGGGCTCAGCTACAGAAGCTCACGGAAACTTCGACTGCCTGAGCCTTGCCCTGGAGCTGTCACTGACATGACTTCTTAGCAACACAACAGGAAAAGAAGAAAGGGAAAGACAGACATCCTACAAAATTCATAAGCTTGAGGAAGTCATTAAAAAATGTCTGTGTTGTGCTGGGCTGTGTTGTGTTGTGTTGCCTTATATATGGCTGTGGATGTCCTTCGCTGATGGCCTTTGCTGAATGACAGCATACTGACACACTGACCCATGTCCAACTATGAGAGAATAAATTTGCCAATGCATAGATGAGAAATCCACTGTTCCAAGTCAACTGTGTAACAGTTGCTACCCTTTTGTGCTATCCTTACTCTGAATCTGAATCTGGACACACATTTTTTTTTTTTTTTACTTTTCAACTAGGTAGAAAACTTAGTAAGTCTGTGCCACTATGTTACCATCTGAATAAAAGGTAACAGATTATGCTTGTGAAGCCCGTAGGCACTGGAGCGTAGTTTCACACATCAAAACAAACTTGCTGAACTGAAGTGCCTGGAGGTGGCTAGTTTAGTTAAGTCTTTTCACTTAAAAAGTTGGGGGAGGTGCTGTTAGCATTTAAACAACTTAATTTCTAGCTTTGTGGTGATAGTTTTTATATTTTCCATCCACTGAGAGCTTTCCACACAGGAGGAACTATATTAAATGTCCTCAAACATCTTGTGTTCCCATAGCTTATAGGTCGTTCCTACCTTAAAGTGGAAAATAGAAAAAATAAGGACTGCTCTCTAGTACATCCGGGGCTCTATGGCCTAAAGAGTGTTGCAAAAGAAATATGACTCCAGGTCTGTCTCCTTAACAGCACTGTGCCTGCAGAGTATGACTTCTTGGAATTATAAGGTGTTTTGCAGACACCCTGATCTGACTCAGAGTGCTTTCACACTAATTAGGTAGTACTCACTTCAGAATCTGAGCAGCCCAGGGTCTCAAAACAAGAAATGCAGGTTTTCTACCACATAGGGTAAGGCCAGGCCAGTGAAACACACCCACCCTCACTGACCACGTGTCTCTTCTTCCAGAATGGTGTAAGGCTCTATGTACCAGTCAATGCACACCAACAATGAATGGACTCTGATACATATGTTAACAATTTATATATAGAGAAAACACTTTTGTTTTTAACCTATAGTAAATGCCAATGAATCTCAGCTTAGTTCCTAGGTCAGCTCCCTCCTCCTTGGCTACATTCTCCCTCATTAGCACCATATCCTCAGATGTCCCATCACTAGAGAGGTCCAAAGCCACCACTTACTGTCCGGTTCTACAGCTCCAGGCACTCCCCTGTCAGAACACCCAGAGGCCATCTTGACACCAGGAGCCCTCTCCTTCTTTGCTAATATGCAACAGCAAGTTATAAAGGCTTCAGATTTAGGTTTTGATCTCCAACATTGTACACATACACACACACACACACACACACACACACACATACACACATACAATCAAGTAACAAAAAAAGGGCAATATAGAACATCCTCTTCTACTCCGTGTTAGAAAATGGTATTTTCTAGTTAAACTGTTGTGTTCTATCGTATTGTGCCCCTTGTTAAATGAATTTCAGTTTATAATTGTTTCAGTGTTTATCTGAATTAACTGAGGTCCCTATTTCTTCACATTTCTGTGTTAATGAATGTACCTCAGTGAGACTTCCTCATTGAGAAGGAGGTTCTCAGAGTTCTTTCACTGACTGTTCTGGGCCGTTTGGCTCCCCTGCCTCTGGCTGTGGCACCTGTTCCTTTCTGCCTGTCTGTCCACATGGATCTTCCAGGATTCCCTGAATCCTGCCTCAGGAACTACAGCATTTACATAATAGCATTCAGCCCTCTTTCCAAACTCAGTCCCTGGTCCACCTTTTGTCAAAGTGCCCAGTGAAAGCCA